CGGCTGGGGCTGCTTTGGGCATTTTCTCCTCATTTCTGAGGGGAAACGTCTCGTTAGTTAGCCATTAATTACCGTTCCGTCAGGGAAACGCTTGTGCCGGCGCCTCGCTCTGGGCCCCAGGCAGCCGCGGCTCCGGGCACGGCGAAGGCGAGGGGCAGCAGTTCCTCCTGCCGGCACCAGGGGAGGCTCCGGGTTTACTTTTCAAATAAATAACTGGCTTTGGTAAGGATTTAGTAAATATGGATCAAACTGTAAAATTAAGAGTTCCTGAAGGCACTTAAACGTCGTGCAGTTATTGCCGCTTTTACAAATCCATCTTAGTGAGCTCCAAGGGGAGGTGTAGCAACAAAATAAACAGGGAAACAAACTGTTTCAAAGTCCTGAGAGGCAGAACTTACAGAATCATTTCAGTTCAAAGAGACCTGTAAGACCATAAAATCCAATGAAAATCGGTGAAGGCTGAGGGTGGTTTTAGTATGCCAAGAACCACTGAGGGGAGTAGAAACTGAGACAGAACCCCTCCCCCCAGAAAAAAAAACAAACCTTACTTGAATTATCATGTTCCACGTTGACCAACATCCTCACAGGTTTAGGATACAAGTTTCCCAGCAGGGTTTTCAGAAGTGGTTTCACCCCTGCAGCATCTGTCTGTACACAACTGCTTTTGAGGATCAAATTAAATAGGCTAAAAATGACTTACTTTCTCCTGCAGTACACAAATCTCATGTTACTCTTTTATACCTCTCAGCAGGATAATCTATTTTACTTTCTTCTCATCAGTCAGCTGTTAATAGCAAGCAAAATGTATTTCACTGCAAACCTTAAAAAGGGATCCAAACCCAAGACATTAAATCATATCTTCTACCCAAGTAAAAAATCAGTATCTTGAATTATTTAAATCTTCACTCTGAGGCAAACAATTTTTTTTTTAAATTTCACATTTAAAGCATTTATTTTGAAAAATAAAATACAAAAGATCATTGAATTATAATTGTACATGTAATTTATCAACTTTTTTTTTAAATAAAAGATATTTAACAGTTTCCACATGTGAGTAAAACAAACTGTTCCACCAAAAATCTAGGACAAGCACAGACCACTCTTTTGAAAGCTTTGTACATTTAAAACCAAAATGCTACAAAAAACAAACCAAAAAAAACTTTAGAGGATGGAGTTTTGCCATTAAGACAGAATAGCAATTTTGGAGACAGGCATTGTTTTGCATTTTTAAAAACCTTAAAAAAATAGTTGTGCGAATGTAATATGGTTCTACAGTAACAGTGATTTTTTTTTTTTTTTAAACAGGTTTACATGCACTCACAACAGCAAAACGTTGAACAGAAACAGTATGAAAGAAATGGGGGAGAAAATTCTGAAAAAAAGCAGGCCATGAGCAGTAACCTCACTGATCTCAGTGGGACAGTCCGTATAAAATCGGTTCCATTGAAAAGGCAGCAGTCTTTTTCCTAAAGAAAAAGAGAAATAAAGTTATGTTTGAGTTTTCAAAGTAATATTCTGGTTTTTATCCTTGACAACATTTTTTGATAACAGTTATCTCAGTAGGTGAAAAATCAGTGTCAAGACTAACCACAGCCCCTGAGAACTTCCCTGTAAGGAATGTTGCTGCCTTTTACATCTTTATCAGTAGAGGTATTTCTTGGAGCTTATTTAAATATAAAAAAATCTGGATTTCTACTTATATTCAAACCACGTATGCAAGTGGGCTGATTTACATGCTCAAAACATGTCTTTCATTACGATGTACCAGTGGCAGTTACTGGAATTTGGTTTCTCAGAAACTGGGCAGCAGCTTTTGACAGAAGAAATATTGTAGTTTTAAGTACAGTCATCAAGGAGCTAAGTGGCAAAATGAAGTAATGTTTTACTCATTTCCGTATTGACTACATGAAAAGATGAGGGTTTCTCTATTGATTTCAGAATGAAGTCCTGCATTTCATCCTTGGAAAACTTTTATATCCATTATTTCTGAATTGGTATGATGCTTTTGGCTATATTTAGGGCTGCAGAGAGCGTTCCATTTATGGCCACGTAATAAATATCTACCCTGGGTGTATCTGTGTGGCATGTTGCTTTTGGCTCTGTTTAAACTGGATGCATTTTGCCATCTTTTGTTGTCAAGCTAGAACATTTGATAACGGGGTTGACAAAAACTGTGGATCAATACAGTAAATCTGGCACCACTCATTCGTTAACTAGTCTGGAATTTACTGAGCTCCCATCACAATCTTGCCATTAGTTAACAACTAAAATAGAGTTTATTGACAATACTGGCTATGGGACACATTACAAATTATACAATCAGCTCATCTTTAGCAGTTTCTGCTATCTAAAAATGGCAATTGATTTAAAAAGAAAAGATAAGGTTAAGAGTCATCTTTAAAGTTTCACTGCTTTGTTAAAACAGGAACCTGAAGCTCTTGTGCCAAGAATGCCACAGTACTGAAAGACATAGAGATACTGAAGTTAACCAAAAAATTCTGCTGAGGAGAGCCTGGACAAGCAGTGGTGTAGTTTGCTCTCCTTTCAGTGTCAAGCTCTAAAATTGTGCTGATGATCCAATAGTGTAGCAAACACTGCAAACTGCAATGGGGTTAAAAATCCCTGCAAGCTCTACATCAATTACACTTTTCTAGCTCTCGCCACGAGGACTTACCCCAATGTGGCTTTTACAGATTCTGAATCAACGTATCTTCCTATTTTTCTTGCCTAGAATCTTAAATGGTGTTACATAAGCTTAAAAAGAGAGTCATCTTAACTAATTCAAGAAGAGCAAATGAGCAGGACTACATGACCTTGCATTACCTTCTGTGCAAGACACAGCCTTTGTATCTTCTACTCCATAGGTTCAGTCTGCCAAGTAAATAATTGAAATTAGCTATTTTACATTAGTGGAAAAGATATCATTATCAGCACCCATGTTTGTACTCAAAATTATCTAGCTGTTATGTTAATTTTATCTTTAATACAATACTAGAGGAGAACACTATCAGCATCAACTTCCACTCCAGCATCAGTTCTTATGGTTTAAGCAACATTCTCATACTACTTCATAAAGTTTATTTTTGCTTTTTAGATGATCTTCCTTTACTCTGGATAAATTTACCCCAAGTATGGTAAATTCTGTAATCATACCAAGCTAGCTGTATGAATCCACCTCCTGAAATTTAGCAGGGTCTCCTTTTGAAACCTCCCTACCACATGGATGGGAAGAGGACATCCACTAGTGATAGTGGAGCAAGTTCTTTCAACGTAGCACAAGATAATTGGAAAATAGAAACAGCATAATTTAACTACCCAATACCACAGATGGATCAAGAATCATTTCTTTTGCTAGCACACAATCTACACACAGTGTGCTAAGTTTTAAAGACAGCTCATGTCCCTGCATTCTCCAGAAACCTCATCAGCGACTTTTCACCTCCTGTTCTGACACGCCCCATGCTGGCAGCCATATACGCCCAGCTTTATCTCCAAAGTTGGAGATAATCTTGAAATAACCACAATAATTGCATTTGAAAGCATCAGAAACCACGGCAGCACATTGTCTTGATACACCTTGCTGACAATAACCTTCAAGCAGCACACACTGAACGGGCTGTGTTGCTGTGAAGCTGCACAGACGTGGGCCAGCAGCTGGGAGCGAACAACGCTGTGAGCAAGGGCACACGGAGCTGCGTGGGGCCAGTCCTTAATGGCTTTCTGTGAGCTGAGCACGACTTGCAAAGCATGAGCACTAACTGTTTGAAGGGTGAGAGCAAGCCAAACATCCAGTAAGAGAGCAAAGCCCACATCAGAGATCACACAAAGAATTATCAGAAAGACTTGGTGGCCATGGCAAAAAGTTATGTTCTGAAAACATGAAACAGACACTACAGCTGTTGGACTTTACTGATCCATGTTCATTTTATCTTGCCACGAGACTTCCTTTCTACTGTCTTCTTTGGCTGGAACAAAAGAAACCAATTTTCCTTTTTAATCAATTCATTTTCATCTGAATGAACGGAGTAAGTCAAAATGCTGTTTGCATGTGGTAGATTCCCCTGTGCATTCTTCCTTCTCTATGTCTAACAAAAGTCAGTCAAAGAGTCCCTTCCCAATAATGGGGATCCAAAGTCAAGAAAGCTTGTACCCATTAGTTTTTTTCTTTTAAAAGCAAAGACATTACAAATGACTTTTGCTAGGCTACTTACACTTGGATTCTAAATAAACTTCTGTACCACATGTATCATTAAGGATGGGAAATTGACTAGAAAGATAAAAGAAATGCAAGCAGAGATACACAATTCTGGAGGCAAAGTACTCCTAAAAGATGCTTTTTCTCCCAATTCTACAATGCTATATTCCTGTATATGTGGAAGGAATTGAAAAATAAAAACAGGTACTTTTCTAGTTAGCTTTACTTGGACAGTAACAGTAACAGTGATGAGCCACTTCCTGATTTTTTTCTGCCAAAGCACAATGTAAAGAGCACTCTAGATGGCATTTAGACATTCACCATCAATTACACAGCCTACAAAACCTGATATTTTCATAAGCTTAGTTGATCAGCTCTTACCCAAGAAAAGAAACCCAACTGCTGTATTTTCTACTTACTTCACAGAAAATGCTCCATTACAGCAATAAGATACAAGTGTCTTTGTTGTTTCTCCAACTAGGGTGAATTATTTGTTCCTTGTCTAGATTGTCTGCTCTGAATTTTCATGGCTAGATTAACAGAGCTTAAATCCACCAGGCTATGGGAGGGAGAATTAATTTCACTACATGCTGGAGAAGAAAAAGCCCCAACCCAAACCACAGAGAGAGAAGCCCTTCAAGCTACTGAAACAGAGCACTCCAACAGGCAGCTCCATGGAACGAGTCCATCTTGTCTGCTCTGGTACCTTCAGGAGATGCTGAAGAGCTGCCCAGCAGCAAGGGATGGATGCCCTCCTCCAAACTGAACCTCTACATCTGCACACAGGCACGTGGTTACAGGCCCAAACCTTCCCATCACCTCTGTGTGAGCAAAGTGCCCGCAGTTGGAAGAGTGGCTCCCACACAGCCACGCAGCTGGGGGAAGGCATCAGGAGATCCTGCAGTTCAAGAGAGCTCTGGGATGAGGATTTGGCTTTTTCAGCCACTACTGCAGAGGTTAGCTCTCTTTGGCAGCTGATGACAATAACATTGGAAGGGTAGCAGATTATGAATTTTCAATCAAACCTGATGTTCAACAGCTCTCTTGATTATTAAATCAACACACCATCACCATCCATGGCTGAACTGTTTTCTCTGATAGAGTAGTATTTATTTTAAAAATCTCTCATTACTTATCTCTGCTCTCTGTACTATACTTGCTATTAACCTTTCCATGCAAGACAACAAAAGATAAAGCTTCTCCACAAATAAACTTTGCACTGTGGTCTACACAAGAAAGTCAAACTTTGAGTTTCACAGCAATATTCAGTCAGCTCAGGTTCACAAGCACCAGGCTGTGAACACTGGAGTTACACAGGCGCTCAGAAGAGGCTGGGGACTGCTGAGTGCAAGAATGCTGGAGACTCAGTTCAGGGACAAGCTATTCTCTTATAATCCCTAGTCACCTATCCTCTTAGGATCAAATGGAAAATCAAACCTATGAAGAAGTGGTTCATGAAGACTGCCTGCCTACTAACTTGCCACTACACCCAGAAAAGGGAAACCAATCCAATACTGTACCTGTGGCACTTCCTTCAGAAAGTCAGGGAGCTGAAATTCACCTTTATAAACCTGGAAAAACAAAACCCAGTATTAATACTCAAAGATAACATTCACTGCTGTTTGAAATTTAAAGAGCTTGGGGGTGTTGGTAGGGAGATTCTTTTGGGTTATTAACATCCAGTAATGCTAAAACAGATTTATTTAAACTGAGCACAATCTCTTTGTAAACACATTTTATTCACGAGGCTTGGTTGTCCAAAGTAGTTCTACAGCTGTATGCTCAGCCCCAGGCTTGCTCTGTACTCAACACTGACCTTCTGTGCATTAAAATGGTAAAAATATGTAACTCCTATTACATTTCAAGCTTGTTCAAATTAAGTCTTGTGTAATCTATTCACTATGCTTTTAGACAAATATCTTAATGCAATGATTAAATATGCTACCAGTGACTGGCTAGAACATATATAAACTTCAAAAAAAAAATATATAACAAATATGTTGCTTCACATTTTAGCACCTTCAATAAATAAAGCTCCCTTTGGGTTTAATTACAATTCACAATTAAAAAATTCTCCATTTATATTTTTTCCAAAAGAGCTACCAGCCACGAGCTCATGGACTGGGTCGAACCGATGTACCAGCCAGGCAACAAACAACAGTCACTTCTCAAACACATTTTACAGTTAAAAAACTCAACAAATGTCATGTAATACAACATCTTCTGACATGTCACAGTATTTATAACGTACAAAATATCTATCAAAAAGAAGTATCACACTTGAAAAACGGATCCTATCCTACTACACTGTCAAAGGAAAGTTGTTGGGTTTGATATAACTCATTGAGACAATGCAACTGCAATCAAAGCCTGAAAATGCTAACAATAGCCATTTTCTCCACTTTCCTCTGAATGGATGACCAGGATATTAGACGTGCCCATTCTGTCAGCAGAGCAGGGGCCTAGGGCTGCAGTGGAGTCAGCTCCCAACCGCCACCCCAGAGCAGCCCTACACAGTATGACCTGCATGGGGTGGCCTCAGGAGCTGGCAGTTCACAGCCAAACACTGAGGCTTTGCTCAGGAACTCCTACTGCCACGCTGAGATGTGACACACAGAGTGTGGAACTCTGCTCCTTCCCATATCCCGTGGTTTAGATAAAATAGAAATGCCCATTCAAAGTGATAGGCATGGCGCTCATTTATTTTCACCCACAGGGTATTATCATTTCCATGGAAACCTTAATGAAAGCCATACTAGTCAAAAATCCAGCATGTGGCTTACTGGAGCCTAAATATACTATAAATATTTATAAATGAAGGAGAATATTTCATATTTTCAGCTTATAACCAAGCCATTAAAATGCAGGCTGCGTTCTAGAGCAGAAATGAAAGTTACAAACCCACAATATTATCACATCAAAAAATGCTACAGAACATCCTAGGCAAGGTTCACAAGAAAAAACCAGCATCTTTTAGATTAGATATCAGATAACAGTATCTATTAGATTAATGCTGATGTTGGAAGAAACAGACAGGCATCCTTCACCTCTTCTGGTAAACCATTACAGTCATTATCTGGGAATTCCTAAAAAGAGATAATACTGATGATGAAGGTAAATTATGACTGATTCAGAACCAGAGCAAACCAAACCACATTTGTCTCTCTAGAAGTCTCCTCCTTTCCTTCTCCTGCAATTTTAACTTGGTCTAATCTTAATATTATGTATCTATATATACATCTGCTCTAAAAACTTTACCATTGTAATGCCCTTTCTATGAACAGCATTTACTCCCAATAAGCATCTAAGAGTGGGTAGTCAAGGGTATTAGTCTGTTAACAATATTAAGATTAATGCCACAGTCTGGAAAGATAAGATAATGTTTCACAAACATCTGATGTTCTACTCATATGAAATGTCACAATTTACACACCACAATTTACACAGACAAATCCAACCAATGACAGGCCTGAGATTAGATTTAATATACAAGTGTGCCTAATTCTTCACAACTGCCATTATTTAGAATGCTGGTTTTGTCAAGATTGAGACTGCATAGGAACTGGTTTAAAGTAGTTCCAAAACCAGTAAGTGGTCTCTCTTGAATCAAAACCCACGGATCAACTGCAATACAGAAATGCTGAAAACAATGACTCCATCTGCAGCCAAAGAAATTAAGAGGTTTCAGATTCAAAATTCTTTTCTGACCAATTTTTAAGTTTAAAACACATTATTCAGAGTGGTAGCAGAGAGGCAGAAGCATGACATTAGAATGATTTCCAGTCTAAACAAGAATTCAGTAAAACTGAACAGAAATGTCTCAATTATTCTGCAAATCCAGAAAGAGGGGGGGGGATCTGAAGTATGTGTCAGTTTGCTGTACAGTTTTGGGAGTATTCAAGCTGTTCTATTAAAAAAAACAACCTAAAACACCTTGTTATAGCCAAACTAAATGCCTATTATTTTCAGAAACAGATCAGAAAACAAGTTTCACATCCAGTTGTCTGAGAAAACCCAATAAATACACAAGGAAAGCTGAAGAACAGAAGTGTCACTCAGAAGTGTAACCTGTAATTCATCTGTACAGAAGATCCAAGCCTTCTTTAGAAGGAGTGCCATTATTTTGGGTCAGTTCCAGTACAGAGATAATGGGTCTTGTCTAAAAGTTAGCCTGCAACTAAGTGTACTTGGGCTCGGTAGGTTTTCAAAACATCACAGTTGCAAAGTGCAAGGCTATAGATGTTTAACTGTAAAAAAACAAACAAACAAAACCCCACAAAACTGGTGAAAACAGAACAGAGCCCCTGTTTAGAAACAATCCTTTGCTGCACAGTACATGGATGCACCCTCATCTTGCTCTTTCAGGCTTAACTTTTTAAGGCAGCTTACAAGGCTTACAGACTTCTTTACCTCTTTGTTGGAACTGCCAAGAAAAGAGGATATCCAAGATGTAAATATTTACCCAGTAGGAACAACTCAGCAGGTTTTCAGACAGGCCTATGAATGTCTGCCAAAAGGCAGCTTGTAACCATACCAAATTTTGTATTTTGTTTGTTAGTGATGCTGTACACCTTACTAATCATAGATATGCATAGTTAGTTTTTTTTAAAAAAAGATATATCAGCACCTCTGGAGAAAAACAGCAGTTGGGAATCCACTTGCTGGAAGAAAAACCCACTAAAGAAGATACTAAACAAACTGTAAGGACACTGAGAAAGCCTGTGCTGTTGGTAGTCACAAGACAGATGAAATCAACTCTCCAACTTTTGTTTTAAATATCAGAGAAGATTCCCCACAAAGCCAAACACCTTTATGCTCAAGTTAACCAACATAACTAGAGATGCACGGCCTTGAGCAGCCTGTCATTAGAGCACAGCTCCACAATAACTGTAAAATGACAGCACAGGTAATTCTTCAGGTAATTAGTATAAATATACTTCATACCCTTTATCACAGAATGTTTCTGTCTTTAAAATAGCAAATACAAAGTCTTGATGCCATGGCTGTCATGGACTTCTCAACTCCTAAGAGCAGGACACGTTTCCTCACAATTTGAAACAGGCATGAAACAGGAGTTAATAGAACTCTGTTTTTTCCTCTAGATGTTACTGCAGAAAATACCCTCAGCAGAACACAAAACATAGATAGGGAACAGCTCTGGGATGTGATCAGAAGCCACACATTTTAAACAGTCATGATGAAAACCATGGCTTTTTCTATAGAGTTCTGCACACTTCTGTCTCCCCATCTCTCCAGGGCGAGGAACGTAACTTTATGAAGAAGTTGAAAGAAATGGCTGGAATAAGTAGTCCAAGCATACAGATTCATTTAGTGGGAAGTATGTGCCAAAGAAAATCTGATGTAATACGTTACAGATGTGAGAGGAAACCACTTAGCCAACCATAACATAACAATAAACCAGTTTCTACTGGGCATAAGTCAGAGTCTTGCTGCTCTGAGCTGTTCTCCCCTCTCAGTACGCTCTGTTAAACTGCTGACATACAATTTCACACCAGCTCCCAATGTAAGGACACATCAGAGACTCTTCTAACATGGAGTGATGCTACTTTTGTCATTCATCATACAGCTATCCAGCCACCAGTTCAGACAGCTTAATTATTTGTATTTTCTGCATCATCCGCAGATGGAAACATCTTTTTGTCACAGGATGTTATTTTCCTTTATGGTCAGGATGTAGAATTTGTTAAAATTCCAGAGGAGTGAAAAAAGTGACCAGTTATGTGTCTATAAGGAAGGGAGCTTTGCAATCATTACAATAAAATGAACAGACCAGCAACAGGCTTACAAGAAAAATAGAAGTTAGCACAATTCTGCAGTCACTGAATAACTAAAGGTGGTGTCTTGAGGAGTCACAGGCAGAGATCTGCTGAACAGTGCAACACTATTCAGACCTTCTTCTCTCTGCTGTGTTCCTTAACAAAGACAAGATAAAGGGTCATAAAAGGTAATGTCAGGCCTCACGTAACAGATAAACAAGAATTTAATGGGCTTTGTTATTGGAAACATCAGTAAAATCTGTTCCATGCATGTTAGGTTTGTACTCCACCAGGGCAGACACTCAGATGGGTCTCATCCTAACACCACGGAACACTTACAGACCAATGTAAGAAGAGAAGTTAGCTTCACACTCTGTTACTGCCTAAAACAAGGCCAGAAGTAAGATGACGAAGTAAAAGCACTGTTTACATATTATTTTTGTACTGTGCTACAGGAGCATGGAGTATCAACCTAACCATTTTGGTATCCTAGACAGGTAACACTACAGTGAAAAACACACATCTAGCAGAAAGCATTGTTCTCCTTGCATTACCTGCAAGCACATAGACATTCTAATTCCAGCACTGTGCTTTAGCTGGTGAGAATCATCATTTTGTTTCCAGATTAAAGGGAAAAAAAAAAATACCTGTACGTATGCAAGTCACCAGCAGAGGGACAGAAAAGGAACGGGGAGGAAAAACAAGAACAGGACTCAACTGCTTAGAAAGCTCAGGGGAAGCCAACACTTTGCACCACACCTTTCTATTTTTCTCCCTCGTTTTAGGCACCCTTTCACTGTTGGTTCTTACCTTCGGGACTAACAGCAGCAGCTCAGAAACTGGTGAACAGTATTTTCACTGTAAAGGCTAATTTCTGGTCTTTTCCAAGAAGTGACAGGCTTTGCTTGCTGCAGTTAGTGCAGTGTATTATAAATGCAGTTCTACAAGCAGTGTTTAAGCATTTTTTAGAACAAAGACATTGTGCAGTTTAAAGTTTGGGCATCTTCTAAAATGATTTTCTCCAACTGGGTAATGCACAGGCTTCTAGTCATAAAATACTAACCTGCCTGCAGTCAAAAGAGGTTTTCCAGCTACCAGGATGTTCTGCATGCTGACCAATTTCCATACTGTCAGTCAACTTATCTTTATGATTTTTTACGTACAGTATAAAAATGCTTTTAAATGATACAAAACAAGAAGTCTCCATAACAACAAGAACTGATTTGTTTGGTTTTTTTTAACATCTCTGATAGCAATGAACAAACTAGATGACACAGGGTTGTTCCATCTTTAGGTGGAGCCAGAATCTCCTCTGCCAGTAACTTCAGTGGTGTTGGGCTTCCACCCTGCTGTTGCAACATCCACAATCAATTTAAGCCAGCATTACATAAACCCCATAAAACTGAAAAACTCTCCCACCCCTATAAAAACAACAAAAAAAAAAATTCAGCCCTTTCCCCTCCCTATTGCTTTCTGTTTGCCAAACAGGGGCACCTTCCTTCATCTAAAGAGCCAGCTTGTGCCATCTTAAATAGCCAAGAAACTACGTATCAGAGTAGCAAGTGTCAGATAATTCAACATGTTTTCAGGATAGTCCCTGTAAGGGGTTACTACACTAACACAATACAGCTCAGCTTTAGAAGTCTAAACTTCATCTGTTTCCAATGAATAAAATTCAAGTTCTGTGTTTAGTTTAAAGTTCTCATAGACCGCAAATATAAATATAATAGAACAGCTTCTAAACAGAAAGGGAAGCAATAAACAGTTGCAAGATCTATATATATTCTTAATATGTAATGAAGAGTAACTTTGGAAAGATTTTATTTAGATAGCTTCATCTCCAATAATATGCCCAGTACAAAACTCTCAAAGACTATCCCAAGTGAAGGAATTTAAAAAGAGCAAGAACAAAAGTAGTGCTACACTAATTTATAAATTTACCAGCTATAAGCATGCAATAACACACTTAACTTGCCAAGTGCCAGTTCCTAAAGGCTGGAAGAGTCTATACCAAGACTACTTTTTTTTTTTTTGGTAAATAAATGCCCTCTTATGCAAGCTGCAGTGGCAAGAAATACATTGGCATAGGTTCATGGAAGAGAAGGGAAATCCCACAGGGCAGCATATGCTCTCCCTGATGGGCAGAACTAACACATCATAGTTCTCTCCCTCTTTCTCTTCCACCCCTAGTTTTTCCCAAACATCTTAAAATGTTCTGAAATATCCATCCCCTATCCCCAAATAAAAACAAAAAGCTGTAGAGAAAAAAAAAGCAAACATCTTTCAGAAGTGAGCCAGCTCCCACTGATCACCAGCCAGAGTACCAATCATTTCCAAACCTACCTGGCTGATGGCCCAGCTCAGTGGCCAGTGTTTGGGCAATTCACTGTGCCAGGCACTTCATGGCTGGGAAGCCTGGCACTGCTGGGGGAATGATGAGCCTGCTGCCCTGAGATGGGTAACCTACCCAGGGAGTTGGGCAGCCTCACATTCTGAAACTGTAGGAAGCAGGGACAGGGATGTTTCCATAGTCAGAGGATGACAGAGGACTCCAAGGTCCGAGCTGGGAGGAAACAAAGCCAAGGGACTGGGGGGGAATTCAAGCTGTCCTCTTCAGCCATCGTTTCCAATGCTCCTTGGGCTATGAGACATTTTGAAAGTCTCATGTTTCTCCATTTCTCAAAAGGAATACTTTAAGTTTTTAAGTTTAGCCATCTTTAATCCTTTTGCTTGTTTGGATTTGAATCTTAATTCAGGACGTTTTGCCCATTTTACAAACCATATGAGCAAAAGTGATCTTGTTAAAGAACAAGTGACTAGGAAAATATACACAGGGTACTTCAAAAAATAAACAAAATTAAAATGCCATCTTGGGCTGTAATTAAAACTATTACATTAAAATAGCAGTCAAAATATTAACAAGTGCTCCATATGCTTGCAATACTTGGAACAACTGTAAGAACAGTAACCTCTAGATTTTCATGGCTGGTTTCAACATTAGTAAACAAACTAATTATGCTTCAAAGCAAACTTATGAAAAAGCTTCAATAAACTTTATCCTTTTAAATTAGACTTAATATTTTTTTTAAAAGGAATGCTTGTGGCTTTGTTTAATTGCCTGAATTTCTCTCTTGCATTTTGAGCTGACACAGATTTTAAGAGGCCATCCAGCAGTAAGCAACTGAAACCTACACAATTTTTACAACTCAGACTGAGCTTGCCATGCACAGGTAGAGGCCTCAGAAAGACCACTATACTGTAAAAATTTTAAATAAAATTTATCAGTAACAGATAACCAACCTTAAATTATTGCACTACAATCCAACTTAGATCTGAGTCAGTGTCTATAGTACCCACAGGTAGGTACATAAGGATTTTGTTTGAGGCTCTGTGAATAGTATTGAACATTTTTTATTTGAAGTGGTTGAATTAAGTGCAAAAAAGTTAGTTTGATTTTAAAGCACTAATTACCAGAAAACCTATCAAATGCTAACCACTACCCTTGCCAGAAAAGCTGTGTTACCTTTTCCATGCTGGAATAACTATTATTTAAATAGTTATTTTGCCTTTAATACATGGATCAACTGTTTAGTGAAAGTTTCCCAGGGAGGACTTCTAAAAAGCAATAATGTTTAGAGACTTCACAAAAAAAACCCCATTTTTTTTCCATTAGTATCTAGCCCGTCAGCATACCAAGCAGTTTTTGTTTAACATCAGAAGGCCAGCAGAAGACAGTCCTTTTCAATTGTTTAATTCAATTTTCCCAATGATTAATCTGCTGCAGCAGCAAAAGTCACTTTCTTTTAATAAAGTATACATTCTCAAAAGAACAGAAGCAAAGAGTTAATTATTCTCATTTCAAACAATGGTAATGAGCTTTTCAGTGGATACCTCCAGGGATAAACAGCTGTATAGCCTAACTACTCAAATTCCAACAACATTAAATTCAGACTAAGATCCTTAAGTTTAGGTTAATCAGCACCAGACCTTCCTCCATCTTTTGTTCACTCTACAAAGGACAGGAAGGCATTGGAAAAGTTGACATTTTGATCCTGTTGGGCCATTTTCCATGGGTCACTTCTCAAATCCTACCAAGTATTTGACACGTAATTTTTGTGACAGAGCTTCTGCCAAGCTTCATGCACAAAAAGCTAAGCTCATCAATCAAATTTGATGCCCAAGCAAGAAAGCTGGCTTCTTCCCCACTGCTAACTACTTCCCCAACTATCTGGGTGATTCTCTTGAGGTTCAGCTACATACACCAAAGAGCACAGCTCAAGTGTGGGGTTGGGGGAAAGGAAGATGAACCAAGTTGAAGACAAACAGCAGGAGTCAGATTTTCTGTGTTCAAGGTCCCACAGAATTCTTCCATTTTCCCCCCATGGCAAGGAAAAAATATTGCACAAAGTACTGAAAGGTATTAGAAACAGACTTAAAAGAAAAGCAAACAAAACACAAGACTATAGTTCATGCCCACTTGGTCAACAATTAAACACCCAGCAATGCCTTACCCTCCTTGTGTTTTCCACAACTTTTTGGTCTGGCTTTCCATAATTTGGTGGATTGGCATATGGATCATAGCCCAGTTTTGCTAGCATGGGTGCTATCACAGGCATATCTTGCAGAACATCAGCAGGTATCTTCCCAACCCACTTTGACAGTGCTTCTACGTTGACTGGTTTGATTACTTGGTCAGTAGATCTTTCAACCCTGTGGAGGGAGAAAGAAAGGTTACTTTGCACTCCAACCAATACCTGCTTCCTCACTAGCATTAAGAGCTTTACCTTCTTTTTTTTGGGTTTCTCATTGTGGGGTTGGTTTTTGTCAGGTTTTTTTCCCCCTTCCTCTTCTTTCCCTCTCAATTTCACATTTCTACAGAACTGATGAGAGGTTTTACCATGCAAGGTTAAAATGAGAATAACTAGCACAACGTTTGTGCATGCTTTCTGGTTTAGGCTTTCACACAGAAGGTACTGAAGCAAGTTCTTTATGAAAAGACAGCAGTGAAAGCTAAAGAGCTGGTAAGTGAAAAGTACACACACACATCTACCTATAAAGCAGTTTTCCCAGTGGCATGTTCCCACATTTGCTGTTTCATTGTCTGAAATGCTCTTGAAGCCTTTATTCTAAATCATTACTGTTTGTTTAAATAAAAGAGACATCTATGGAAACAACAGAAAGCTACAGACTGCAATAATATTTTTCATAACCGTTCCTTTTACTGATTAGTCATTACACAATCAAAGACAAGTGCATAACTATAGCAGTATCATATGTACTCTATTTAGAAAATAGTTGATTTGTTGATCACCTAATCAATAGTCCTATAATAATTTTTATTCTTGCACCCCAGTGGAAGTGTTGTGTTTGATTTGGGGTTTTTTTTCAAAGGGAGAAGGAAATCTGGCATCATCTTGTTTCCCCTCATTCCTTGCTTCTTCTAGGTCAGCAGACATACAACTTCTGTACTGTTTATTTCTGAAACAGGAAAGCAGGACTCAGAATAGGCTGAGTAATTTCAAACTCTTTAGAGTGCACATGTGTTAGGGATGTCAATGTTTATCTCTCAGGCAAATTAAAAATCAGGTTTGTACATACAAGTTGCCTAAAGGAAGAGTTGCATCAGCCCTGGAAGTTAGTCCCCTCTGGTGTGGCACTGCATCAGCAGTTCCTGCTGGCTGGCTACACCTGCCCCAAACCTGATGCTAAGCTTACAACCACCACATCCACTTGCAGCTATCATTCCTCCCAGGCCTCACTTACATCATAAAGGATTTTGATCTCAGAAAGCTCTACCACTCAGAGAATTAAAACGTTGCATGTGAAAGTAACAGTACAAAGTATAACACCAGGACTTCAGCTACACAAGAATGAGAACACAGATTCAAATTAATTCTCAAGCAGCTAATTCTTCAGTTACACAGCAGGCAGAATGAGAAAACATCTTCTCAGAAAATAAATTTAAATTTCCTCAAATGCTGGTAATTGTTCGAGTCCAGAAGCCTAAAAGTCAAATTGTTCTCACAGCTGACATCAGTCAACTTACAAGAGGAACGAGTTTGATTACAGTTAACTAATTAATCTCAAGAGCCCAAGAAGAGTCTGAAGAACTGCTGCACAGCAAACACCAACTCAAGAGCAAGATGCACCCTGTTCAGATGCACAGTACTGCCTGAAGAAAACCTTAAACTACAAACTATCCATGGATGTCTGCCAGTCATTAACTCAGTATGATCTCAACACAAAGTCTTTACCTTCTTACTCTTTTTTTTAGCTGTCATCATAGCTGAAATTCGGCCAGGACAGAGGAAGGAAGTTAGTCACACAATGCTGGAAGGTCAGCAACCTGAGTACTTTAAATACAATCAACAAAGAACAAACCAGACAGGGAAATGGTCACCCACGGGGAAATGGTCTTGGCAAGCAGGGTCTTCACATGTAGCTGTGAAAGGTGTTTAACAGAAGCTTATGAGTGAGCATCTGACAAACAACAAAACTGGAACAACCCCCAGAGTTTCCAGCCTCACGCTCTTCAGCCGTTTTCAGTAGCTCAAGCTGAAGGCAGGAACTCAGAATGGGGTTTTGGGACTGGGGAGCTGCAACCAAATTTCAGCCTTCCTGAAGGCTACTGGCCCGAGATCACAAGTGGGAAAGTCTGGGATTGCCTTTTTGATCCTTCTAATTAGAAGATGAGCATCTGATTTCACATCAAATTAGCAAGAAAACAGCTGTTAGGAGTCGAGTTTCAGAAGCACAAAGTGGCAAGGCAGAGGACAAAGCACCCACAACAGTCAGGAGCTCACAGAACCATGCTGACTGGACCCTCAGGAGAAATTCATCACTAGGTGTTTGAAAGTGTAAGATTTATGGTCCTCTCCCTCCCAGACAGAGCCAGCTAATACCTTCACCAAAACTGCAGATTGATTCAACCATTTAAAGTAAGAGTGATACTGTGAGAACCAGGTAATGCGCTTGGCTAACAGCTTACTGGAACCCCAAAACAAAGGTGCTATACATCAAGTAGGACCTAAATGAGGACACATATGGACACCTCATCCCAAGTGAAAGCATATTTAAAATGTGCATGTTTTGCCCCACTGTCATTTTAGCTTTTGGTAACGATAAGGTCAGCATGAAACATTCCCTGGTGATTAACAGCAGGCAAGGGATAAGCCAGGAACTGCATTTAGCTGCAATGATTCAGTCTACCACATTTGGTCTCTTTAAATCCTTTGCTGTCCTTTCAGTTAAGGTGGGAAGAAAAAGTACAACACAATTCACAAGAAAGACTCTTCAGACCAAAGAATATCTGAGGAGTATGAGGAAAGACAGACTGGGCACAAAACGAAATACCCAAAAAACCAAACAGAGCAAAATAAGGAAACATACTGACTTTTGGTAAATTTGGTTACGTATGCAGATGGAAAATGCTGCCTGGTCAGTGCTTCCAGGCTCTGCTGCAAAGCCACAGGAACACTTTCAGCTTAGAAAGCAGCTGGTAGCATGGAACACCAGCCTAACCCCAAATACTTCCACATCTGTAGGAGAATCGAATGGAAGGTATGTATTAAAAATAGTATATTCCAAAGTAATTTTGCCTAGACAGCTATTTCCATACTAAGCCTAATAAAAATTGCTATAAAAGGGTTGACATTTCTTTGCATCAGTGGTCACACAGCTGTGCTGTGTGTGGAGCCCAGTGCCAGAGCTCTATTAACAGTACTAGTCAGAGCAGGCAGCCCAGCCATAGCACATTCCTTCAACAGCCACGCTGGCAATTGCTTCAAACCACAGAAGGTTTCCTGCTACTACAAATGCTGCATCCCTAAAAACCCTGCAGTGTTTCTTCTTGCAGCTGGATAAAAGCCAAAATGAAGGGCAAAAAGACTCAGTAAAACAGAACAACAGTAAGGCCAGGGCTGCATGAGCAACAAAAAGCAGGGATTACTAGGGAAATGCAGGGGAAGAGAGGGAGGCAGCCAGCAGTTCCCTCAAGTCAAGCAGCCAGGGGAACAGACAGTCAGAATCTTAAATACAGACTGTCTAGTATCTAATATTGCTAGTCACAGAATATTGCCCAAGAGTTTCTGAGTCTGGAATAAGAGAAGAACAGAATCAGCTTGCTGCCTGAAGAATTCAGCAAGCCATTGGGCAAATAGCTCCTGTCTGGAAGAGAAACAGCCTGCACACACAGTTTAACCCTACATACAACTGAAAATAAAACACCTTAGGCTGACCTAGAGCCTCATTCACCTGATACAGACTTCATCTGACATGGCTGTGATTTCAGATGAGTTAAAAACGTATTTTTGAGCATTCACCTTCTGTTACCAGGTAACAACATCATGATAAAGAGCTTTAAGTGGTACTGCAATCTCCTTCTCAAAGCCTTTTTAAATATTTCAAGACAGCAAACTCATAGGATTTCTCTTCAAAAACTCACCAACAGTTAAAACACACCCAGGCATCTTATGCTGGACCTGACCTGAGCAGGCATCATGCCTCTGAAATAGATGCTGAGTCTCTCTGAAAGATCTGAAAGTCTTAACAGTAAGTGGAAGAAGACTGAGACAGGTTTCTCTGTGCATTTAAGTCTCTACATAGTATCACAGCCTTTACTGATTGTACCAATTTTTCATTCTTTGACTTTAGAAGCTTTCTATCCTACTTAATACCTCACAGACAAATGGGGGAATAATTTTATCTAGATCTCCATTCTCTCTCTACTATGCTGCAGAGGTAACTTTTAAATACACATCACATTTCAACACAGATTATTTGGTACTTGTGATCTGTTTCCCCTGCCACTAAAAACAGTAATATAATTGGAGTGTTCTGATTTTAATACACTGTTATGAAAGAGCCTGAAGCACTTGGTGCCAGACGTGGTAAATTAAAGCTCTGTGAGAAGACAAGAGTTGCAGTAGCCAGCAGCAGTTTGAATTTCCTCAGATTATCTCTGAAATGATCTTCAGCACTATCCTTTGGGAAGTGAGGTGGGAGATACTGATCAGAATATTGTACTCCACTGCTTGGCTCTTGTTTCAGCTGAATGAAGACAGGATTCATACTGTGAAAGAAAGAGTAAGCCAAAGAGAAATTCTAAGTCATAAGAGAACAAGCTTGGTTAGACCCTGACCCAGAAGGCAACAGCCACACACACAAGGACACAAAGAATTTGCTGCAGCTGAGAACAAGTCAAATGCAACTTGATAGAAGGAAAACTCAGTCTAACACAAGGTTTATTTTCCTCTGCTGACAAAATCTGGTAGGCTGGGGCAGACTCTGAAGCTCTCAGTAAACTACCTAGCAAGCATCTTTTCAAAGAGTAATTTCTGGGGCAGTTATTCCCTGCCCTGGGCAATGACCCCCCAGAGCAGCTGCCATCCCTGCCCACAGGGATCACCAGTGGAGCATCCCCCAGCCAGGAGCTGGGGATGCCAAAACCAGGTCCTGGAAATCAAATTGGGGAATCTCAAGCTCCCGCTGCACAAATTCAATTAGTACCATACAAATACACAAACCAGAAAGTTACAGAATTGCATATTCAGAGGTTTTTTCTTCTGCAGCCCTCAAAAGACTGAGTCACTGAAATCATTATGAAATTATAAAGGTCTCTTGCAACTGAAAAACAAATCTCACCACGTATTTCAAGGGTATTTGATTGGATAAAAAACACCACAGACATAACACTAATAACCCATTCTTCTTCTGCTGTTGCCAGAACATTCTAAAATAACTTTCTTCTACATATCATAAGAGATAATAAAAGCATGGAGGACTCTGTGAACAGGCATTGAGGGTCACAAGGACACACTCATACTCCTTTGTCTTAGAGTTGAAAGTGTGATTCAAAAATAAATAGAAAGCCACATTTTGCTTACTTTCAACAACCCATTTTCTTAGTTTTTTGAGACATTAATAAGTATTCTCAACTCCTCACATCCTATTCCACCAGATTTAGCAAGAAATATTACTTGAAATTGTATTAATTCAGTAAGGCTAAGGTTTTACAGTATAGAGGTCCATTAAATTTTAAAACCACTAATCTGGAAGCTGTAAGGTAGCAGTATTTTTCTAGAAATAGCATTATGCATAGTTATTTTTACAGTACACTTAACAGAAGTTGACCACCACGTATTTATATATGTAAAATTAATTTTATGCACCCCTCAGCACCTTCCTGACAGCTCTGCAAGCAGTAGTAGTGGGGGCTGTGTTTCTTCCATGGGAATGGTGATGCAAAACCTCCAAACTGTAAATATAGATCTGTTGTCTGAGTTTTAAGTTCCTTGTAGCCACTAAAAATTCTAATTTTCTTTAAATTGTATTCCCTATATTGGAAAAGCCACAAAGACAGTTTCCTAGGCTTCAAAGAAACAAAATCTCCCTTTGTAGTTCTCAAACCCATAGTCTTTAAAAAATGGAATCACTCTGTATTCAACAGTTTGACATGTCTCTACCCAGCCCACACAGCTTGCTGCCCAACGTGCCTCTGTTACTTAGCCAGTGATGAATACTGAAAAAACAGAAGACAGGGAATGTAAGTGGGCATGCCTTGCTGCTGGAACAGGGCTTCTTAATATTTTAGAAACTTAAACAAGACAGTCTGGTAGATATATCTGCTATGGCAAAAACAGGAAGAGAGATTCAAACATCCACACCTTCCCCTCTCACTGTAAAGGCTGGCAGAAGTAAACACTGGCAAAGAAACCAGAGAAGTTAACTGGAGAATTAACTAACTTTGTTTTTTTTCTCCACAATACCCATCTTGATTTTCTAAGTAGAGCTGGATTTTGGTTTCTGAAAGGAGTGAAATCAGGTGCACAGATGGCACGACAGAATTCTGAGGGATTTGCTTACAACGAGGTTAATTTTATTCCAAGTGCTTGTTCTTTTAGGAGCCCATGCCAACAGAAAAAGCATGCCAATTCTGCTTTCTATTTTGTTGGAACAGCTTCTCAAGTTTCCTGGAAGAGGATGTTCTTGGCAAATATAACTCAAAGGCCTCTCTTGCACTGACAACAATACTTAAGTTCCTGAAATCAAACTGGTGATCTTGTCAGGATGAGTAACATCAGCCTAGATAAGACAGCCCAGCTTTATTTTGGGGCCCAGAGCAAAGCAAAGCCATACCAGAACCTAAGGCTGATTCTAGACATCCAAATTCAAGTTAGATTGGCCATTAATTAAAAGTTTGTTTATCTGCTCCATACACGTTAGCAGGACAATTATTTAACTGGAGAAAGCCGAGATCACAAATTGTTTATTAACAATTACTCTTATTCACCAGATAACATGCATCATAAATCAGCTTTTTGGGACATCATTAGCTATTTAAAAATCGAAACAAAATGATGACTAGTCTTGTATATGCCAAATGTACTATTTTACCTCTGAGAATGACACAAGGTGAAGGAGGAACGCTCGTACTCACTTGGAAAGAGAAACACCCCCTGCTTTTCCAATCATCTCCTCATGGTGCAGCACTGCTTGGTTCCACGGGATGCGGAGAAACTTCAAGAGAGTTCTCATCCACCTCTCAGGATGCAAGACGAGTTGTTCGTAGTGCACCAGCATACACCTCTCAAACCCAACCTCCATGCACTGGTTATACATAGTTTCTATGGCACGATTCCACTTGGTCAAGCAGTCCCTGTAGCTGTTAAGGTCAAACCCAGCTATCGTGACTTTTCTAGATATCATGGAATGCACAGATGCACGACCATCCCGTACCATGAGAAGAAATTTGGCATTGGGGAAAATTCTAGCAAGATAAGTTAAGGATTTTAAAGCAAAAGGATCTTTGTTACACAAATAGGGCGCAGGCTCCCCGTGTTTCACAATGATTTCCAATAAGAACGCTTGCATGGCCGAGTCCAGCACCTCATCTGTGACCCCAGCTTCATCCAGTCGGATCTTCTCTTTGCTTGACCTTGCCCACATCTGCTTCACTGCCAGGATTCGGGGGATCACCCTGGTCTCCTCCCCACAGCGGATGTCGGGGTGGGCGTCCAGCATGGCACGCATCAAGGTAGTGCCACTTCGAGGTACTCCTCCAATAAATATTAAAGGCATGTCTTTGTTGTAAGCAAAGGTTTTGTTTGTTTTCACCCTGGCATCAGTTCTCACCGTGCTCCTCACAGCCTCCAGCCTGGCGGGCTGGCTGCGCTCCTCTATGCGGTGGTGACACTCCATGGCGTGCTGGCCCAGGTAAAACACTGTCACTGAGCTGATCACCAGGCACGCCAGCAGCAAGTTCTGCTTCAGTTTCCCAACCATTTTGATGAGGACTGTCACTGCAGAATAAAGAGATGCTCTATCTCAAATGCTCTTCTAGTTCACATGCCATGGGAAACCTAATCCAAAATAAATTAAGGTCTGGTGAGGGGAGAGAAAAACAAAAATTAGAACTTTAAGAACTACTATGATAAATCAACAACTGACTAGTTTTATTAATTGCTGCCAGGTATTTATCTCCTGGTGCTGCATTAAACCAGTAAATGCAAAGTCTAAACACAATAACCCCATAATAAAATGCCTTTTTGTTTACCCACAGAAGCAACTCAAACCACAAGAAGATTCATGACTACACTTACTATTTACACACAAGTTCTTTGGTATATTTTAAGAATATATTGGAAAACAATTCCACTGCTGGATAGCTATTGTTAAACTTTATGGTCAATGATATCATATATAAGGGACTCTACACATTAAGAAAGTCATTATTAAGAAACCACTTTTCTTGAGGTTTTCTGGGGAAAAAAATTACCTGAGCCAGAGTCACCAAGATAATGCAAAGGAACAAGACCCTCCACACAAATCACACTAGAAATTATGGAAGAATTGAGGTATTAGAATCACTCTGCCTTGCTGAGTAGCTGGTAGCAGTACACTGCTCAGTGTCACATTTCCACCTAACTACCTGATCTGTTTTGTTTGAAATGCTCCATTTCCTTCACAGGATGTGAGATCCTAGGAAAAGACGTTTCATGGTTACATATCAACACTGACAGCACCCAATTCCTGATCAAGGCCTTTAAGCAAGGAATTTTAAAAAAAGACTGCAGCAAGTAAGGGAAACTTCAAATTTACTTCAAGGTAATCTTTGATTAAAGCACTGCATAGTCATTAAAAACTAGAAACAATCCAGGATTGAAGTTGACCAAGACCAAAACTAAGATTCTCTTGATTTAAACGAGTCACAACACCAAGAAAAGAATCAACCCATGCTGACTTAACATCTGGATGTTAAAAGTCCCAGAAATTTAAGTGGAGGTCACCTGAAGAGTGCTCTAAAGAAAAAAAATAACTAGACATAAATCATGCAGTTAACACTTCCATAGCACCAAAACTCAGAAAGCCTCTCTCCTGAACAGACTGAGGATTCAGACCTAACTTTCAATGAGGGAAAGGGAAACTGCTCTGCCTAAAACTGGCAAATAGTACATAGAATCTCTTTAAATACAGTAGAGACTTAGCTAAATCAGAAGTCCAGAGAAGAGTTAACACAACAGAAACAGTATTCTGCCACAGAGCACACGAGACCTGTGAATATTTACACTTCATACAATCACTTACATTACTCAGTTTGAGCAAATTCCATAAAACTCATCACCTAAAAAAAAAAAACAAAACCAAACACAACACCAACAAACAAACCTTCCACAAAAACCTTCAACTTCCAAACTGAAACCAGTCCTTGAAGACAGGATCATCCCCTAAATTCAAGTGTTAGGCTGCAGGTTTCCAAAACTGCTGCAAGTATTGACCACTCAGGTACAAAACCAAAAAACCACCCAAGTGATGAGAAAACCCTACACTGATCAACCACAAATACTTGATGCAGTCACTTTTTTTGGTAAGTTCAAAGATGCCAAAGGCTGCAAGACCATGAGGAGCTGGTATCAAGCTCTCCTATGACCTCCTGTACTGTTTTATTTTGCTAGAAGTAATACCTGGAGCATGCAACTGTGGCTTTGTTGTTTGACCAGGGCTTTGTGTGTCAGGAAAGCAAGAGAGGAGCAGTCTGAAACAGCACCTCTCAACAACTGATGTATTCCACACGCCAGAAAACTCCCTTCTGTGCCTGAGTACAAAGCTCTTTGGGACAAGTATGACATAGGGAAGTTACTGCCCTTCTAGCAGCTTGCAAATAAACCCCACCTTCTCCCTCTTCTACATGACTAAGCCTCTGGACCACATCTGTCAGCCTGAAGGATTATTCCAGGTCCTTAATGGTCTGCTGTTAACAGTAACAGAATTGACAGCCTTTAAAAATCACAAGCAGGCAATCAGCAATCCCATGTCAGTATTAAAGTATGGCTTTGAAAAATTGTGGTGTTTTTACCCACTATGACCTGAGAAGAGCAAAGCACCACTCCACCTAAAATAAAAAACAATTCTTAATAAAAATACCCCGAAACAAAACCACCCAAACTGAATACAACCCCCTCACATACACACCACAGTCAGAATCTAAACAAGTTGAAGGTGACAATGGTAGAGACCTCCAGCAGTGATTGTTTCAAACAACAGACTAAAACAAATTCCTCAAAAAATGTACATGTAACTCAGAAAAAAAGAGACAGTTAGGATCTACAAGCTGCAGTATGAGAGAGTGCAGCTAAGCAAAAGTGTATGTATCTGGATTTTACTCCCAGAAAAGTCAGGCCTATGAGTCAGCCACAAGATGATGTTAGCAAAGCAAAAATGACTGTTTTGTTTCCTTCTTCTGCACACAGTAATTCTCTCTCCCTCCTTCTCTCCCCCTACATGCAGCAGATCAAGACCTTCTTCCTCAAGTTCATCCAAAAAATATTGCAGATTTTCAGCTTAGCCAAGAGGCAAGTCATTCATTGGTATTTTTGTTAGAACAGTTTGGGTTTTGTTGTTTTTTAAGGCACTTCCTGCCAGAGGAAAAAAAATGATCCATTACCACCCAGTAATAATAATCCTCATAAACTCTAGAGCTCAGACTTTCACTTTGGAGGCTGAAAGAGTGATGATCACCTCCCTTCTCATGTTCAACCAGGCAGCTTTGTCCAAGGTTTAGTCCCTGGGAAAGCAGATTCCAAAATACAGACTCCAGAAACAGAAGATTCTCAGAATTCAGAGATGCTTTCAGATGCACAACCACAATCTGACTACTACACCCAAAGCTTAGGGTATAAATCTGCAGAGGAAATTCATTTTACAGTGGCAAGATAGCTAAATTGAATGGAAAAAAATCCTACACTGTTTTTATCCACTGTGACTCTTCTCTGCTCTTGACTGTAGAGGGAGAAATGAAAACGCTGCTAGGACTTCAGCAAATGTCAACTAGATCAGTATCTTTCTTGCCTCTTCTTGCACCTTCACCTTTCCTCTGTAAAAATAAATACTGGAAAGGCAGCAGATGCTGAAAATTCTTAAGAATCATCTTCTAAACAGCATACATTCAGAAAACCAGAGACAATATATTTCTCAGAGGAAGTTCCATAGTAAGCTCATCAAATAGACCGAGTAAGAAACCCTTGTATACAACATTAATCCTTCAGCATTCCTAAATGAAAGGAATTCCATAAAACCTTTCCTTCAATGAACTGGTTTGTTTCTGGTCAGTCATGTTTGCTCACCACAAAGAAGATTGCACAGGAAAGCTGGTGGTTATGTGATAATGCTATAGCACAACACCAGGGAACACGACTGAAACATTCACTGCACACCACTTCAAGAGGCTTTCCAACCCGTTGTAGGCTCATTTAGAAGATTGTTCCAAAAATCACTGAAGTATTTGGGAAGCATTTTCTATGCTTTCAAAGCAGCGTTTGCACAATCACCTTAAGAATTTCCCCAAAGACAGGACATCATGTATTACTTACCAGTCACGCAACACAATCTGGGACAGGAATGTCCAAGTACAGCACAAGCAAACCCCAAGCAAAATACTTAAAGCTAGAAATAAAAATCAAGAAGCCCTGAATACCAAGTCCATCTGCAGCTTTTGAAGGGATCACCACAGCTCTCAAGCCCTGCAGCTGTTTTCTCTACACTTCTCCCTTCATTCATTACACAGTAAAAAAAGATGATAAAATAGAACGAGCAATTTTTATTCACCTCCACAAAAAAACAAGCAGTAAGTCACCTGGCAGAAAGCACCTGAGAAGAAAGACAACTAAGGAGCCCTACTGAAGCCTGTCTCCATGCTGAGCAGTCTGACAGGCAGACTAATTTTTTCTGACTTTGTCCTTTTAATATAAGGGGATGCAGATGTGAGAGCAACACTCCCTTACAGTTCACACTGCAGGAACTACAGGAATGTTGTTCACACATTTGCAGTCCCTTGAACCTAGAGGGTTTTGTTTTGTTTGGATATTTTGTTGGGCCTTTTTTTTATCTAAAGCTTTGAGAAACTGTAAAGGCCAAATTAACTTTCATAGCCACAGAAGAAAGACAACTAAGGAGCCCTACTGAAGCCTGTCTCCATGCTGAGCAGTCTGACAGGCAGACTAATTTTTTCTGACTTTGTCCTTTTAATATAAGGGGATGCAGATGTGAGAGCAACACTCCCTTACAGTTCACACTGCAGGAACTACAGGAATGTTGTTCACACATTTGCAGTCCCTTGAACCTAGAGGGTTTTGTGTTGTTTGGATATTTTGTTGGGTCTTTTTTTATCTAAAGCTTTGAGAAAATGTAAAGGCCAAATTAACTTTGACAGCCACAGATCTAGGTACAGAATACATACAGCAAATTATCTGTATTTTCATACTGAATGGTCACAAAAGAGTTACCAGCAGGCTCACAGTTATGCAAGAATACCCAGTATTTGTTCAGCACCAGTTACTAGTACTACTTACTGCTAGAGAACAGTTCAACAAAAGGAATTTCACTGGCCACACATGCAGGCTTCTAGCTCTTTAAATTTATGTTAAAAAAAAAACCCAAACACAAAAAGAGAGAGGGGGAAAAAGAAGTCAGTAGCACACTAGTAGCAGATGAGCCACTGCGCTGTGCACTTTTATACACACGGTGCCTCCTAAGAGGCATTTCAGCATTCCTCTGGATTATCAGGTACTCCCAAGACTCAAACTGCTCAATAATACTAAACAGAGGTACACCTACAAAACAGACGTACAAAAATTTGCACATCACGTTCCCAGTACCAGATGCAAATGGCTTCTTCCAGCATCACCACCAGCAAAAGCAGTTCCAGCTAAGGGACGTGTCGGGTCTGCCGCTACAGAACACCGCTGGACGGCTCACCCGCACCACGAGCGCTCCGGGCAGGCA